GCACAAGCAGGGGGAAATGGCAGGCAGAGGGAGAAGGCTCCCCGCTGAGCAAGGAGCCTGTTGGACTCGATCTCAGGACCCTGGGATCATGACCCAAGCCGAAGGCAGACGCTTTAACTAAGCCACCCAGGCAGCCCTTGGATTTTCTTTTTGAGAAAATGGGACATTACCTATGTTCATGATTGCCTTATGTTCTCACCAATATGGTAAATTTTAAACTTACATTTACTGAAGTCCTACTATACACTTAGGCACTGAGCCAAGTGTTTTCATGTATCGTTCAGGGTTCAGCAAACAGAGGCCCACAGGCCAAATCCAACACACTGTCTATTGGTGTAAACAAAATCTCCCCGGAATCCGGTCAGGCCCGTTCACTTAAGTCTCTGTTTTCGTGCTACTACAGCAGAGCTGAACAGTTACAACAAAGCCCACAAAGTCTACAATATTATCTGGCCCTTTACAGAATAAGTGTGCTGATCCCTGTATTTGTTTAACCATAGTAAGATTTCAACAACTGTGACTCTTTACACAGAAGAAACTGGGGCTCAGAGAGGTTAAGTGGCTTTCTCATGATCACAGTTCAGGTGGCCAGGATTTGAACCCAAACTATCTGATCCCAGCACGCAGTGCTTACCTACCATATCATGCTACCTCCAAATATATACTTAAAGACAATCTAAATGTCCAGCCTGACAAATAGGAGTTCAGGTGTGTAAGTTTGAAAAGTTCATCCATACAAGGGGAATTCTAGGCAGCCCAACAAGATCATGATCAACATCAGACAGGAAACGCACCCATCATCGAGTTAGCAGAAAAAGTAGGTTACAACACCTACTGTTCTTGGGATTTCCAGTTCAATATAGCCTATGTAGTTTTTGTCCTTCCTATCAAAAAAACCCTTTGAAAATTATAGGAAATGAGGGCGGCTCAGTTAAGCGTCCAACTCTTGATTTCGGCTCAGGTCATGATCTCAGGGTCGTGACACTGAGCCCCACACCGGGCATGGCTTAAGATTCTCTCTCTCCCTCTGCCCTGTCCCCCAACCCCCTGTGCATACGCTCTCAAAAAAAAAAAAAGAGGGGTGCCTGGGTGGCTCAGTTGTTAAGCGTCTGCCTTTGGCTCAGGTCATGATCCCAGAGTCCTGGGATCTAGCCCCACATCGGGCTCCCTGCTCAGCAGAAAGCCTGCTTCTCCCTCTCCCACTCCCCCTGCTTGTGTTCCCTCTCTCGTTGTCTCTCTGTCAAATAAATAAATATATTAAATCTTTAAAAAAAAAAGAAAATTATAGGAAATGACTTGTAAAGGCATAAACCTACAAAGAGAAAGCATAAAAAACGGCAAAGCAAATTAAATAAAAATCAGCTGCTAGAAAAGAGACAGATGAACAGTTATTGGATAAGCAGACCACAGAGACCAAAACCTAAGCCTGCAATGAGAAAAACCCAGAAACATGTTGAGTCACAGTACAGGACCCCCAAAAGATTCAGGAATTGGAGGTACCAGACCTCTGAAAAGGTGAAGCTGAAGATGAAAACAGGAGAATGAGTTGGAAATCTGTGAAGTTAGATCCTGAGATCCCTGCTCCCATCCTGTGCAGATAGGTCTGCCTTTTCCCCATCCAGCAAAAGACTAAGGTTCATGCTTGAAAAAGTTGAGCCAAGGAGCCTATGGAATAATCAGGAACAACGGACACACAATCAAGGGTGAGGGACCATTGCATATTGGACAGTGAGAACCCAGGTCCCTCCCTCAACTTGACTCTCAGAATAGCACCAGCCAGATGTGTGCCTCCTAGGTGGGGGAGTGGAGCATTTCTCCCAGGGACACTGAGCAGCCTCTGAAGATGAAGCCACAGATCCAGTTGGGGTCCCCACAAAATCACCCAGTGTTGTCACCCTATGTTGAAGCCAGCAGTTGGTAAGCCCATCCACACACTTAGAACTTCCAACCAGCTTTTGAAAGTTCCATCTTTAAATATGAATGGACAGCCAACACATTCCAGGAGAGCCCTACCATAAAAGATAGAAACCGGGGTGCCTGGGTGGCTCAGTCGTTAAGCGTCTGCCTTCGGCTCAAGTCATGATCTCAGGGTCCTGGGATCGAGACCCACATCAGGCTCCCTGCTGAGCGGGGAGCCTGCTTCTCCCTCTGCCTCTCCCCCTGCTTGTGTTCCTGCTCTCGTTCTGTCAAATAAATAAATAAAATCTTTTAAAAAAAATAAAACATAGAAACCAAAATACTTAGAAAAAAAAGAAAAAAATCAGAAGGAAACTCAGAGAAAAAGTAGTGCAAAAAAGAGACAAAAACTTCAAAACAAACCTATAATACTCTCAGAGACCAGAGAAGGCACGATAACCTCAAAACAAGAATAGGATACTCTAAAAAAGGAATACTCAAAACATCAGTGTTCTTAGAAATTAAGTATGTCAAAAATGAAGAAAGTATGTATTATTATATACACTCACCTTAATTACTTATAAAGCAAAAATGAAAGTAAACAGGAAAAATGGGAATTCTAAGGATCAACAGGATTACTTATTTTAACAATATTGAGGAGAGTTTTATGGCACTAGCAGTCTGGGGATGAATTAGTGATAGGTACAGAGAAAACGAAAGGAAAAAAACAAGGCAATGATGATCTCCAAGGAACATAAACTTTTGTACGAGAGGAAATGTGATCAGAGTATACTAGGTGACTCCGCTATGAACGTGGTGATAATAAATCTTCAATTGATTTAGCCCAAAAACTATATGACAACAACACAGGGAGCTGCTAAAAGGAGAGGTCACAGGTTCATGGGTATGATGCTGCCAAAGTTAGTGTGGAGAACTGAATTCTTACCTTCTAAGTAAGTAGTCCACAGAGGTCTACAACTGGAAAATCAATACAGTGCAGGATTACTTAGAAATATGGAGGTAAGTACTAGAAGAAAGAGCTGAAGAGATTCAAGGAGCTGCCACTAAGAGTCATAAGTAAATATAAGCAGAGATGGGTACAACAGAGGAATTCCTTCCCCCCCCAGTTATAAACTATGTTTAAAAATTGCTATTTACCCTCCAATACCATTCTTTCCTTCAAGAGCAGTAAGAGTGATTTGGGTATAAGTCTCCCAGATGAAAGTTAATGTTCCAGACTCCCTTGCAGCTAGGTGTTGGCCAGGTTTCTAGATTCTTGTCAATAGCTAAAAGCAAAAATGATGTGGACTTCTGAGTCAAGTTCTTAAAAGGAAAGAAGTGTACCTTCCTCTTCTCTTTTCCTCTTTCTACTGCCTGGAATGTCAAGGTAACATCCTCAGGGTCCTATCAGAGCAGCCACTCAGACCACAGATGGAGACTAGGCTGATGCAGCAGAGCATCAAGACAGATGGCACCAGGGGCGCCTGGGTGGCTCAGTTGGTTAAGCGACTGCCTTCGGCTCAGGTCATGGTCCCGGAGTCCTGGGATCGAGTCCCGCATGGGGCTCCCGGCTCAGCGGGAAGCCTGCTTCTCCCTCTGACCCTCTCCCCTCTCATGCTGTTTCTCTCTCTC